AGCCCGACGCGGGGCTGGAACTCACAGACCGTGAGATCATGACCCGAGCAGAAGTCTGACGCTTAACCGACTGGGCCACCCAGGTGCCCCATATATTATATATTTTGATAATTGATTTTTTTTTAATACAAGCGTGTGTTACATAAATACTTTTATAAAGGTAATTTTTAATTGTTGTGACATTGAACAATAAAATAGAAGAGGCCTTTGGAGACAGTGCCCTAGTTCAGGGGAGGGCCACCAGTGGGGGGTGTGAGCCCTGCTTCAGCTGAGGGGCAGAGCTCCAAGAGTAATAGCTCCTTTTGGTCTTTCCCTCTTTTTCCAGGAACAAGGCCCCTGGCTGTGAATAGGGTGGAGGAAGAATTGTGCAGTCCAAATGGCTCATCCGTCTGGGAGGAAAATTGCAGCTCACAGGTTCCCTTGGGCCTGCCTGAGTGGCAAGCCTGGGAGACAGGAGCCAGCACAGGTGACCTATGGTTCTCCCCTCCCCCAACGCCTACACCCCCTCAGCACAGGGGCCCATGAGGTCCAAGCCCTCCGCCAGCCCTTCTATATTCTTTCTATCTAGCCCTCAGGTTCACTTAGCTCTTTTTTTTTTTTTCAAAAAATTTTTCAAATGTTTTTTCGTTTTTGAGAGAGAGAGAGAGAGAGAGAGAGAGAGAATCCAAAGCAGGCTCCAGGTTCTGAGCTGTCAGCACAGAGCCTGACACAGGGCTCGAACCCATAAGGTTCACTTAGCTCTTTCCTCTTACCCAGAACTTCTGTACTCTGAGCACCAGACAGCCCTAGAGTCTGGAGACAGGGGTTGGGACCCAGGCTGCCCTACTCCCCAGCTCTGTCACCTTGGCTGAGCGTTCTGTCTCCCTGAGCACTGACTTGGGAGTCAGCCAAGCCCAGGCTCCTATCTTATCCAGGTTTCACCTGTAATGTAGGGACAGTAGTAGTACCTGGTTCATAGGATCTGTGTGAGGGTAAAATGCGAAAATGGGTGTGAAGCAATAGGACAGACCTGGCATATAGAAACTGTTCAATAAATGGTTGCCAGCATTTTATCATCCTTTCCGTCTTTGTGACATCATTAGCTCCATTTACTGCTGGGGAAATTGAGGCCTGATGTGGTATAATCTACCCAAAGTCCCACAAGGAGCAGGCCTGAACTGGGGAGTGGGGGGGAGCCAAAGTCTCCTGACCTCCAGACGGAGACTTTTCCCACGAGCAAGGATAATCCCTGTCTGGAATGAGGGTTGTTTATTCTCTTTACAGGGCAGATCCGGGGATTGGCTTATTCATCTTCCACCACAGTCAGGAAAGAAAGGGTCACAGGCTCTGGGGTTCTCTGAAACCAGGGCTTTGTGCGGCCAGGCCATGTAATGGGCGGGCTTTCCCTTGGCATGGCTCAGCTGCCCCTGAGTTGGCGGCTGGGCCTGTGAGTCACAGCTGCCCCACATCTCCATTCCTGTCCCCACTGGTAGCCGCAGCCCCAGACCCCTGGCAGCAGTCCAGGGACACGAGCGGTTCCAAAGCAAGGTGCCCGTGTTCCAGAAAGAGATGCCCCCTTCCCCGCATCAGAGAAAGCAAGTGATGGCCAAGATCACACAGTGAGGTGTGATAGATCTCAGACTGAAACCTGGTTCCACCTCAGGTGACCCCTGCCAGAGGGCCCAAGTGAGGAGGTCAGGAAGCCGTGGCCTTGGTCTAAGACCCTTGTGCTGGGGCCCATGCCCTGGTTAGCTCTATTGCCCTGGCCCCGTGCTGCTGCCAGGGTCTGTCAGGCCCGGGCTGGGCTGTGGAGCCTACGGTCAGGACGGAGTTGGCCAGCAGGCACCAGGATGTCTGGCCCATGCCGGCCCCGCACCACTGAGCGGCTGCAGTCGTGAGGGGCCTGGGGCCTGCTGGTCTGCACCCCTCTGCCCTGCCCTCAGAGCCACAGCTGGGCTCCTATTCCCTCGTTGGCCTCGCCCTGGCTGCACCCGCCCCCGCCTACCTTCCTCTCTTTCTTCCTCTTCCTCTCTCTTGCTTGCCATATCTGCTCACTTCTTCCTGCGCTCTGGCCCCCTTGGGCGCCTCTGTCTTCCTTGCTCCCACTTGAGACCCAATCGCTAACTCACCGGGGCCTGGAATCTGGGCTGGAGCCGATGCCTCTCTTGAGCCACACCAGCCTGGGCTGCGGGCGGAGTGGAGGGGAGGGCAGGGGGTGTCCCAGCTTAACAGCCAAAGCCAAAGCACATGGTGGGGTGGGGTGGGGGACGCGGGAGGGACTCAGGTTTCTCCACATGAGCCTGTGAACAGTCCAGCTGGTCCCAGGGCCAGGCCCTGCAGAGCCGGAAGAACCTTTCCATTTCACACCTTGGAAAACCGAAGCCCAAGGTCCAGGCCATCCGGCTGCTAGCAAGGGGTGGAGGGAGTGTGAAAATCCCCATTTTACAGATGGAAATGAGACTCAGAACTGAAGGACCCTGTGTGGGGAGGCTGTGGTCGGGGATCAGCCCCGTTCACCCCATTTCACATCTGTCACCTCCCGGCACAGGGACCCAAACCCGTGAGAGACCACAAAGTCCATGAGTGAGAAGCACCAGGTTTAATATTAAAATCTTTCCCTTAAAAAAAAAGTACACAGATAAGAAAATTTGATGGCATATAAAATAGCACTTCTGCTGTATAAATGTGAGTTAATGTGAGTCCTAAAAATACTTGTAAACCTAGGTGATTACATCTTTGGTACCGTAGTGAGAACCCACTCCATCTCCTGGATGGGCAGAGGGGACCGGTGCCCGGGGGCTGCTAGGCTGCCCTCCCCCCACTTCCAGCTCTCTTCCTGCCAACAGTCTTGGCTGCAGCCCTCGCTCCCCTGGCACCTCCAATGCCCCCTGGGTTGGGGCGTGGCTGGAAGAGAGAGTACAGTGAGCGGGCCTGGGCAGTGACAAAGCCATACCCCACAGTTACTACCTTGGGGACCGGGCAGCTGGTGGGTGAGAAGGAAACCCCCAAAATATCTGCCTCTTGCACCCCTTCTCAGGTTCCCTAGAAAGCCTTCTTGTCCTTTCTGGGGGACCCCCGGACTCCTCACTGTCCATTATGTCTGTGGCACAGACCCGGACAGGTGCTGGAGAGGCAGACTGCATGAGGTGGCCTGCTTTGCCCTCTCTGCCTCCTTTGTTCAGGAAGGCTCCAGAGGTGGTTGTGAGCCTGAAAGGGGTTCCGTAGTCTTCCCATGGGGCAGCTGCTGGGGGCTTTCCAAGACACTGGCTGTCACTTCGAGTCAAGACCTGGCCAGCTGGCCTTTTGGGACTTGCCCGGGGCCCTGGGGAAAGGGCACGGTTCCTGAATGCCCGGAGAGTGAGGCAGGGTCTGAAATCTCCCCAGACCCCAGCTGATGCCCAGGACGGAGGTTTGGGGCGTTTGGCTTTGCTTCATCTGGGCAAGCGTGCCACCCCCTGGAATACTCTAGAATGTTCGTGCTGGCAGGGCACCGGAAGTCACAGAGTCCACCTTGCTCATCTTTCAATAGGGCAAACAGGTCCGGACAGGGTGAGGGGTCCCTCCAGGGTCCCATGTCGAGTCCAATGCGCAGCCTGATCCACACGTGTGGATGTCTCTGGCGGGCCCACCAGCACGCTCATCACAGATGTGGGGTCCACCTGGCCCCGGAGACTCTGGTGGGTGAAGTAAGACTGGTGGTGACAAGGAAAAAGACCTCGCACTTAGGGGGCCAGGAAGACACGAACGCGGGCACTTCGTATGGGGAGGTGTGTCCCAAGTGCCTGGGACAGCAGCTGTGGGCCAGGGTGTCCTGTACTTGGCTCGGCCCCCAGCATTAAGCGTGGATGGCCCCAGACCAGCTCGGGCCTGGGAAAGTGGAGACTGGCATTAAGGGGCGGTGGCTTCCGGATGAACACCACTGTCCAAGGCTGGGCCCCGGCTCACCAGGAGCCGGGGATGCCAGAGTCCCTTCCCCAGCTCTTAGGTGGATGAAAGTGCAAGGAGAAGGCTACAGCTCCTTGAGGCGTAGCTGGCTGAACACAAAAGAGCTAATCCCCGCCCTCCGGAACCTCGAGACTCTCTCTAGTGATTCCAGCCTCCCCACCCGTCAGCCAGGGAGAGAATCCCAGATTCTGCGTCACCGAGCCCGGCTTTCCCATCCTGTAGATGGAGAAACTAAGTGCCCTGGGAGAACCCTGGCCCCCAGTCACATGGCCTCCCCAGAGGCAGAGGGCTGGTCACGGCCCCTGCAGTCCTCTTGCCTCCTAAGCCAGCCCCAGCTGTTGGGTGCCACATGCCCACGGCAAAAGCTTTCTAGAAAGGGACAGCTGATGGGAGGCCAGGCCAGGCCGGGAGGCGCTGGGTGCTGGGAGGTAGAGGGGGAGCTCCAGGCAGGGCGAGGTGGGGCCAGCCCCCTACAGGAAGCTGTCCTCCGCCTCGGCCCGAGGCCCAGGGCAACATGAATCCAGTGGTGGCTCTGGCTCCACCTGGGGCTCGAGCTGGGGTTCTGGCTCTGGCTCCTCTTGGGGTTCCAGGGGGCTGTCGCAGGAGATGGTAGAGGAGGTGTTGACTTCATTCAGGGTGGAGCTAGGAAGAGAAGGCACACGTGTGAGGGGCTGGGAGGGAGCCGGAGTAAGACAACAGCAATAATCAAGAGCTTCCTGTGGGTGCAAGCTTGCACCATGCACCTGACACCCTTTAGTTCATTGAAGCCTTGTAAAGACTACATAAGAGGGACGCCTGGGTGGCTTAAGGGTCGGTTAAGCATCTGACTTCGGCTCAGGTCATGATCTCACGGTCCGTGAGTTCGAGCCCTGCGTTGGGCTCTGTGCTGACAGCTCAGAGCCTGGAGCCTGCTTCAGATTCTGTGTCTCCCTCTCTCTCTGCCCCTCCCCCACTCATGCTTTGTCTCTCTCTCTCTCTCTCTCTCTCTCTCTCTCTCAAAACTAAATAAACATTAAAAAATTCTTAAAAAGAAAAAAAAAAAGACTACATAAGATAGGCACCATGAGGGAAGGGCTGATCAGAGAGGTTGTGTCAGTGGCCGACATCACACAGCAAGACTTTGGAGCAGAATATCCAGTTAGCTCCAAAGCTCGTTCCTCACTCACCAGCAACTCCATTCCCTGCACTCCTGAAGCTGATCCCATTGGATCCTTCAGCAACCTCCAAATAGA